ATCAGAATCGCGACACACTGAGAAGATCCGGCAAGAAACTCAATAGGTTGTATCTATGGGTTAGTTCGCCCGTAGACAAAACTGTATACAGACTCTATTGAGCCTACACGGGCAGATACAATAATCATTCCGCTCGTTTCTGTCGCGATACAGAATTTATTTCTGTGAGACTTTTCAAGGATTTGAGGCAGTCGTTGTATTATTGAAACACAATTCATGTTGATTGATTTATATCTCAAAGGCGTTGCCACATTCACGTTGTGATGTCTATGGGCTCCAATGACAGCGTAACACCGGATGGTTCGTGAGCTCGTTCACCTGTCTAAGCATTAAATGTTATATGTAGAATACAAAAAAGAAGCAACTGGAAATACAATCGTCCCATGTAATTTGACTTAATTACATCGACGGCTTGTAGAGGAAACAGTATCACACAAAAGCAGTTCGAAGCGTCTATGCGTTTGTGCCGTGTAAAGTTGAAACAACAACTGTTTTGTTATAAAATTAAAAGCATCTATTAGCGTTAGTTAACGGAGGCAGCGTACACCGTGGAGACAATTGAAAAAGTTCCAGAACGGACCTTCCGAGCCGCTGCCGGTTATAACACTCTCCTCCATATTGTATGATAATCTGAGAGAAAGTATAAACTTTTTACCAACTTTGTTGCTACAATACCCCTACCTAAATATTATAAATTGCTCGCTGCTTACTAGTATTTCTTTATTATATTACACTATCAAAGCTCAAAGTATTTGATATGAAAATTTATTACGTGTGATTTCTAGGCTACATTCATTATATTTATTCTGCGGAATTTATTGGGTCGCGGACTGTAATTTGAAGGCATCGTGGCGGGTAGGCAACATGCATACTTGTGTACCTACTGGTAATACTAAGCTTGTACCGTAACTCACCTTAGAACTTCAACTTGGCTGGTGCCAATAGGTATTTTTGAAAAGGTGACAGTAAGTTTAATCATAATTTTTGATGCTTATATTCAATTTGAAATTACATCTAACAGGAAGTCGCTTAATTTTTTTTCAATAAACAAATTTTCACCCCTCAATGTTATACTGTAGTAACTCGATAGAAGAAAAATATTGCTCGGATGCATGCTTGCGGATACATCACTCACGTGACTAGCTTATAATTATAAATTGACAAAATTTCTCTTTCCGAAACAATTTTCAACAAATTAATCTCGATGGGAACTTTTTAAAACTTTTATTTTGTTATACTGTAAGTCGATGATGGAAACCACCGAACCGCCACCGCACAGCACCGGCAATAATTAAAATAAGTAAAATCTTGAAAACAACCGCGCACGGCTTTGTATAATTAAACGGTAAATTTCTCTCACACGCATATAAATGGTAATAACAAAAGTTCGGCTCCCGCTGTGCGAAACAGTAAGCAAGTTCAGTCAGTTAATCACGGGTCGTCTTCGTGCAAAATTCCCGAACACGTCGTCGTGTCGTAGCTAGTAATTCTGCCTTATTTCCTTGCAGACGTCTACCTCCTCAAGATTTTGATTTTCGTAAGCTAAGACGTGTAACGTTTGCTTTATAATGTTTTTTTTTTTTAAAACAGACTCTCACCAGTTCGCGTGCAAATACGGGTTTAATAAAAATTAAAAGAAATTCTTTTAGAATTTTCTTAATCATTGACTCATTTTTATATGATTCTGTAGCCAAATAAAAAATAATGCCGTTTTATTATTGTACAATTTACGATTTTTAGGTGTATGTTTAATTTAACATTCATCCATATCTAATCTTAAACATGAATACATCATATTTATCTTATGATTTAAGTCACATGACTCATCATCTAACAGTAAGTTCATCTAAGTTGATGATAAACGTCCTAAAACTGCAAAACATATGCCCCCTGTAACTATTCAATTATTCGTTGGAATATTAACAAAATAATAACGAAGTTTGATTGAAAGTAATATTGTTATCTGGAGTAGTTTTTGAGACTTGTGACGTTTTCGGCTACACACGCTGTTTTGAGTATTGTACTTGGACGCGTTTTACTTAGAATTAAAAGAGAATTATCCCACCACTCTAACTCTGTAATATTTTGGACATTTTTAGGAGGAGTGTTTCTGATAAATAAATACCAAAATTAAATTTCGCATTGAAACCTATCATTTTTTCTCTGAAATATTAAAAGCAACTTAACTTTATAACAGCAAATTACACAGTTATTTTCATGTGTAATTAAAACCAATTATTTGCCCAATTATATGTTTTGTAATTATATGTACGTATCTGTATATTATCGTAGTACAAAAGTTTGATATAAATCAATGTAGATTCACGAATTTCGATTCACAGATGTGAAGCCTGTATTGATTATAAAATTCAACGGCCAAATATTTCAGTTGTAAACTACACACATTAGGTTTAACTAGTTCTTTGAATCTAGTATATGGCCCCTGGAGGTTACTCGAATAGGTAAAAAAAAAAGTTTAAATATTACAAGTACATACGTGGTATTATGGTTATTAACTCAAATTGTTTTATCTCCTGTCACGTACATTGACATTACGATTCACGCGTTGTCGCTAAATATACCAATAATTCAGCTGCCTCATTATTTTATCTTCGAACGTGAACTTTAATGCTTAGATACAAAAATTAGATACGATTTTCTGTTAAAATAATAAAGAGACTCGAAAAGGAACTTGTCAGCGGTTTGAATACAAACAAAATTTATCTTCATTATTTTGTACATGAATATTTAATGAGTTCGTATAAACATAATTTAGATCAATTCATATTTTCGATTATAAAGGTCTTATTTATATAGTATTTGTATCTTCTGGTTATATTAAAAGGCTTGTTTTTTAATATCTTATATTTCAAATTATAAATACAATTAATAATAAATTCAATCATTTACTATGTAGGTTTGTATGACCATGTAATGGTCGCTTAAAATAGTTCTACATCTTTAGCTAAGTGTTTGAACACACGTTTGAACAAAAACTACAGTTTTAAAATTTTAAAATGAAGTTAAATTTCATTTTTAATAGGAAAAGTTTCTTCGCATTTTTTAAGAAAATTCACAACATTTTTTAATATAGTTTATTTACATTTAACTAAAGTATGTAGGTACCATTTTGTTCGATAACTTTTTGCCATCTTATAGGTAGGGACATTTCTATAGCAATGGGATCCCATTGCTATAATTTGCCAATTGCATTTTTACCATTTTTGTAGTAAAATTTTAAAATGTATCGAATTTATTCATTAGATTCCCTCATCTTGACAGTATGAAAAATAAATGAAAATCACACACTTTCCTAATTTGAATTTGAAATTATCTTCTTTAAAATTTAAGCTTTTAATCATACCAAAACCAGCCAGATACAAATAGTATAGCCAAAGAGATTTTATTACAAGCTCATACATACTATAATACGAAAAGACTTTTTCCCCAACCTATTACTTTGAAACCTTGATTTGCCAAATATGCTGATGTACTAAAATCACAATTAAAATGTAACATAATCTACGCGAAGGTCGATGAACAAGTTCGTAACATGTAATTATTGAATTCCATTAATTAATCAAAGGGTTTCTCAATAATCTATATGAATATTAAATTTAATACTTTAACACAACTTGGCATTTCCTTTTTAAAATTGATTTGAATTTAATATTTGTAATACATTAGTGGAAGTTTAATTGTTTCATCATCACTAAGGAGTCTTTTAAAACTGTTATCGTTTTTTTAAACTAAATATGCCTCTGAAGGTGAGATTTATAATAATTACAAGTGAATTTTTATTCGATCATTTAATACAAGAAACTTTGGAGACCTATTTTGAATCCATATGTTATAATGAGCCGCTTTTCCGTGGCGATATTCCCCCTGCTTGCCGGTTCATTGATTTCATTCTGACTTCAAAATAAATTGATATCGGAAAATCACACTGATGAAAATGTAACAACATAATATAGCTTAACACAAACGTCTTACGTGTGGGATAGGTACGCCATCTTGCCTATTTTTTATGACTTAAGGCCACGCACTTTCTTTCAGAATGTTTGCTGTTTTTTTCTTCTATTCTTTCTACATTCTCCTATATTCTATAATTTTTTTTATTTTAATAATTATTGTTAAATGGCATTTATTTCGTATTTTTTTTATTACAAAAATAACACGAGATGAACCGCGTTGCTTGCTTAGTTAAAAATGAACGGATGTCACCCAGTTATTTCACATTACGATAACATTACACCTACTCAATTTACCCACTCAGAGGGCCTTCCTACTCAGAGTTTCAGTCAAATCTATTTGACACTTACCTAAAAATATAGGTATTGTGGGGTTTTTATTGTCACCAAGCTTTGCAAAATAATAGTATAACTAGAAGCGAAAAATAGAACGAAAGCTCAATGTGCCGTGACTTCATTTAGCATCCCTATTTCATAAATTAATTGTGATACATGCCCTAATCTTATTTATTATGTAGGTAGATATTAACTTCATGTCTAAGCTTTTCAATGTTGGTACTATTCATGGTTGTTAGGTACAATGAATAACAAATTTCGTTAAGAGAAATTTTATCGGAGAAGTTCAGAAAACATCAACAGATTAATTAAGGAAATAGTGACCTATTTTGTGGGCATTGACTGAATTGCTAACATAAAATAATTGTATTGATGAGTTCATTCAAATTATCTGTGGTATTTTAATTTAGTGTGTATAGGTATTCGAACACATTAAAATAGGTCAAGAAAGTGAGAGTGCATGGTGGTAAGAAAATGATATGTAAAACGGTAATGTACCTACTGTGAGGCAACGTAATACAAATAAAACTACCGTTAACTTCTGCAAAGCGTCGGCAAAATCTACCATCAACTTATTTTCATGCACCTACTTTAAAATTTGAAATCGCAAAATAAAAGGTGATGAAAAAAGAAGTTGCACAAATAAATAATCGCAATCACAGATTTTGGTCGCTACTAGGATTATGTACTTACCTCGAGTCGAACTTGTGTCCGTCGTCTAGCGTGCCAGTGTAGTGCATGGTGAGCATATCGCCGTGCTTGGACTTCGTGGTGCATCCTTCTGGAACGCTAACTACTTCTGTCTTTAGTTCAGTGACCTCAGGACCCGCGAACGTGGCCCCGGCCAAGGCAACCAGCATAAGCACGCAGCGCAACGTCGTCATTGTTGAACTTACGAAAAGTTTTTTTTTACAAGAGAAGCGTGCGTTACCAACTGCGCCTGTACTACAACTGAGCAGATTCCGGAGTTCCGACAACTTGGAATTCGAATAAAGTTTGCCGCTCTCTCGATGTGGCGGACGCTCGCTACGCCGTCTCGCTCACACGCCTCGTAGGAAAGGCAACAGAATGAGAAAACTATACTAATATCACGTTAACCAAGGCCGAAATGTGTGGATGATATGAGCCTGTTCGCGCTTGCCACGCGAGCAGTGACGTGATTATCATCAGTTGATGTTCTACTTTTCCCTAATCTTGCCAACATGTCATTTTCGTACCAATACTAAATTATTTATCTAAAACTTTGAAGTCTTTATTTAAACAAGCAGCGTAATAAAAATACAGCATTTAACAGGTGTATGTACTGTTATTTTCAATGAAAAAACTCATTGCCAATAAGCTCACAATTATTAATAACAATATTGAGTACAGAATCAAAAGAAGAATAACATGTTTTTCTAAAAACAAAATTGAGGTTTAAATATTATGTCAGTATAATAAATATTTTTAATTTCAAATTAATCTGAAGTCATAATTATACTTACGAGTATAATTAGCGCACATGCAAAGTCAACTTGGAAGCTACGCGAGTGTTATAGTTTAAAAAAGCTTAATCGTATATAAAAGTGATGGAATAGCTAGAATTATAAAAAAAACTCAAAGAAACAAGTGCTAGTACCTACTAAAGTAGTTGGGGAATTTTGTCCACTTGCGTGTTAGTCTTCAATATTTTTATGTAAAAAAAATATTACACGAATTGGCAAACATACTTTTATAGCCTTTTAATGAACTTTTTTATTCGAGGTGAGAACTTTTGTTATCTCCATAGATCAAGAAGATCAGTAATAAATGTTGAAATGTTGGGTGTCGACTAGTGTTGAGTGTCGCTAGGGAGAACGATCATAAGTCTCGTACACGTGAGAGCACATATTCATGTAGACATGTAGGATTGTACCGTGTATAGTTGACAGGTTAAAACAGAACCTTGTTCACACTTAAATCGGAACATTCGGAACTACCAACGATGTCTTTTACACGAGGTTAGCTAAAAATGTATCCATATATTTTTTATCTTTGTTTATAGTTCAACAATTAACCATCTTATTGGTCTTCTCCATTACAGCCTCTATGGGAATGATTGGCTTAGAATTGGCAAATGAAGTTATGAATAACAGTGCATAACACAACGACAGTGATTTGGTGAGCATGCTGTCATGGATGGAAATATTACAAGATAAAAAATCAAATATGTAAGATCCCCAGAACAAAATAAAACCTAAGTAAATAACATTTTAAAAGTAAAGTCTAGATGTTGAAGAGAAAAGTGGCGTTAATGGCTAGCGTTGATGGAAAACAGGTTTAAGTAACGATGACGCAAGCAAGCTTAATGGAATACTAGTTTTTACTAACGAAAATGCAGTTGAAAGTATTATTTTATAATGTGTCAAATATGCACATTAATTACGTTAAATATGATTGACAAAAACATTTTGAGTAGGTATTAATATAAGTTTAATCTACTTATATTTTTATTATTATTGTACTAACGCTATGTTTAGTACCTTGCAAGTTAATTCAGTTGTAGGCTACTTATTACAAATGCTATTTCCCATATGTAGCTTACATTTTATTATAACAATAAAACATTAAAATTAAGTCATTCTAAATATTAAATTACACACAGTATTGGTTGAAATTTTAGTATGAGTCTAATGTTTAGTCTGAAATTAGTCTGAAATGTTACTTTTCAAATAGTATACAGTGACTGAGCCAGTTATCGTAAATTCTCATTTTGTATCAGATCTAATTTTGTTAAATACATAATAATACTATGTTTCAGTGTGCATGAGTCACAACACTACCGGTGCAAACAAACAAAGTATGTCTTTATTACTATATAGCTAAGTTCTGTTGGTGGTTTCGTATGTACTGCACTAACTAAACAAGTCAGTGCGTTAGGCACATACATATGCATATCTAAATGTATATCTGATATCTATATGCATGCATATGTATGTCTGAAATGTTGTCTGAAACGGACCCTTTTGTAATTGAGAATCAATTACTTAGTGTCGATGCACTTAGTCTACTGAGTCACATTTCTAACTTTTTCTGCTATATGATTTCGATTACTATTCCAATATGTCTAGATAATCTGTGTGCTTATTTGTACTAGATATATTTTCACGATAGTATTTTAGTATGTATTAAAATTTTCGGCGAGAATATTTAATGTTTCTTGCTGCAATATTGTATCGCTGGTGATTTGAAATCCATTGTTTTTATGAAATAAGTTAAAAATACGGTTAGGTTGCGAATTAAAAGTTTTAAATAACTAACTTTTGGCTGATTTTCATGTATATTTTATATATTTCAAATACCTTTTGATGGGCTAAAATTTTTCTTAGGTCACTCAGGTATATAAGTTATCTAAGAATAGTTATAAATAGGCATCTACGCATATAATATAAAGAAGATTATATAAAGAAAAATTGTAGATGTCTTATTAAATATTAATTTTATTAACTTATTTGTTTGTTAATTATAGTAGTATATTTTGATTTGCAATTTTTTTTTATCAATGTAACATGTAATCTTATGATTTCCGAGTAATTAAAGTGTAAATTTTAAAATAAAAAATTGTATATAATTATAAAAAAAAATCGAATTCGAGTATTTTCGATTTTTTGCATTTTCTGTGAAGATTTACTATAGTAACATTTTTTTTTTCACCATCGGAAAGTAGAGATTTCAACGAACAGAAAACATACCAACTTTTTGAAAAAAGCTGATATTTTGACGGGTGAATTTTCGATTGAAAATTAGGGTGCTTTTTCAATATTAATTCAAAATAAGGTTAAAAAATAAATATTTCTCATCAAATAAATTACAGCGTATTCGGGACATAAAAAGGTAATTTTTCGCCAAATTTCGTGAAAATAAAGATTTTTTTTTGAAAAAGATAAATAAAAAACCAAAAACTTGGTTTTTTGAATTTTTCACATAAATTTTGAGGTTATGTGAAAAAAGTGTAATTACAAAAGTATTAGATCTTTTTATTACCTACAACTTTGTCATTTGACTTTTTTCCATAGGACTTTTAGTTTTGCCGAAAATCGAGAAAAACCGTTTTTTCCCTAAAGCCTCCCCCCCTTCCCCTTCCCGACCTCAGATCGCCCGTAAATTATTTTTCGTTTCATTTTTATAGTATTTCCCTCCTTTTCTAATGGGTTTCGTCCTACTATTCTTTTTTTGGGTTTTAAAAATTATCGACCCCGGTCTATTAGGTTATCTATGTTCGATAACATGGAAACTAGTAAATATTATAATTTTTTAACAACAACTATACTACTAATAAAAATTTCAATCAAGTGAAACGCTAATCTCCTTTGATTATACTGTTAATTATAATTCCATTCCATTTTGGATGCCTGGAAGTGAATTTGTATATTTAAGGTAAACCCGTCTGAGCTGCACGTAAAATGATGTAGGTAGTGTTCTAAGTTGACACAGTTGACAGTTTCATGAACCTTTCAAAAACCGAGACGTATGTATTTATGACGTCTTAATTTAATCTTAGAATCGATATTATTGGATTACCATATTGCTTTAAGAAATAGCTTTCATTTACATGTTAATTGAAAGTGTCAAACAGATACTATCAACAGATTGCTTTTCAAAGAAAAACAATCAGTTTTAAATTAATTTCAATTGTTTACTATTTTTTATTTATTTTTATTGTCGTAAAGAATATTTAGTTAAAAAAAACATTGTTGGGCTAGCTTGATATTAGATACAGAAACGGCACAACAATTTACCGATTTTTTTTTTTAAATTTGTGTAGATTTTGGTACGAATTTAATAATAATAATAATAATTTACTACTTAACCATAGTGTGGTCCTCAAGTCTCTTTGTGAATCGGAAACTTACAAGTACCTTGGTATGTTTGAAGTGCTGAATATTGTTGACGCAGATATGAAACAATCGTTTAGAGATCGGTTTTTTGGTCGTCTTATAAAGGTCTTAAAAAGCCATTTATCAGGCGGAAACAAAATCCGAGCGTTTAATGGTTGGGTCATGCCTATGTTAACATATTCCTTTGGCATACTAAGGTGGACGCAATCAGAGCTGGACGTACTGGACAGAAAAGTCAGACGATTGTTAACGGCATACAGAATGCATCATCCACGTTCGTCTGTAATGAGGTTGTATATTCCTCGGAAATGTGGGGGTCGTGGTATTTTGAATGCCAAGGATCTACATAACCGAGAGATATACAACCTTAGGGAATATTTCCTTAAGATGAACGTGAATATGTATCGGGATGTCGTTGCAGTCGATAAGGGGCTAACTCCGCTATCCTTAGCTAACGGGAATTGGAAGAGGCTGAAGGTAGAGAGTATTTCAGATCGCATAACCGTATGGAGGAGCAAGGAGTTACACGGTAGGTTCTACCGGGCTCTCACAGGGCCTGATGTAGACCAATTAGCTTCCGTGGCCTGGTTACGATTCAGTAACCTCTTTGGGGAAACTGAAGGTTTTATCTTTGCAATTATGGACGAAGTTATCATGACGAACAACTACCGGAAATATATACTAAAGGATGGGACGGTCGACATTTGTCGGGCATGCCACCGTCCGGGAGAGTCTATTAGACATATTGTTTCTGGCTGTTCTCGGTTTGCTAACGGCGAGTACTTGCATAGACATAACCAAGTGGCTAGGATTATCCATCAACAACTTGCTCTGAAATATGGTTTTCTTGATTCTGCTGTACCTTATTACCAATACCAACCTCAACCAGTTCTTGATAATGGTCATGTTACGCTCTACTGGGACCGATCTATTATCACGGATAGGTATATTGTTGCCAATAAACCTGATATTGTGATAATAGATCGATCTGCGCGTCGAGCAGTGTTGGTTGATGTCACCATTCCTCA